ATGCATCTAATCTTAATTAAAAATTATTGGCAAGATCAACAAAGAAATGAAAGAAATACATCTTAAATTTTTTTTAGATAACAAGAGAGTGACAGTGAATCTCGACCAGATTGGTTGAGTAGAAAAATCTGGGCTAAGAATTCACATACAATTGCACTATATTTCTCATAGAGAGAAAAAAAAAAAAGATAAAACCTGAAGAATAAAAAAATCTGCAAAAAGGGGTATTCATGAATGCGCTAAATATATTCCATTCCTAGCAACAATTTGAAAGGCAAACCCATTACCAGTATGTTCATACAAGAACAATAAACTAGCATAAGACTCGCCAATCTTACATGAAAAATATCTATCAAAATTTATTCTACCTAACAACTAACTCGGGCTTACAAGAAAAACCCACAAATGAGAATACTACTAGAACAATACGTATCCTCCAAATTAAAACCTATTTCTCTTAAGCTCATCCAAATCAATCCGATTATCCAAAACAAATATAAGGAAGAAAATCAGACAAATTCATATGTAGAAAGAAAACCCTACACAAGAATAATTAAGAATCAATACATGTAGAAAACAAGAATGAAACAGTACCAGATTTGGACAAAACAGGTGATGCGTAAAATCTTGCAGATAAGCGAGGTGCTCCAGAGGAAGCTTCAACCCTCGCTTTATTTTTCTTTTCTAAAATTCTATCAAGAAATATAGCGTCAGGCTTTGTGCTCCGTTGCACGCGCAAAACAGAGAAAGCGAGAAGGAAGGGAGATTTTCTTTTGAAAAATTAAAAATTAAAAAGTCCTGATAACTCAACTAGGAGACGTTTCTCTTGTATTATGGACCGTCTGATTGAAAAATAGAGAGAGTGGGCCGTCCTCAAAAGTTGATCCGACGGTTCAGCGTCGTTTATTAAATGTAGTATTTATAAACCCGTAATTCTGTTTTTTTATTATTAATTATTATTTTAATTTTCGGTAAACCAATTTAACAAAAGCTTAAATCGACCACTCACTTTTCCAAATTATTTAATTAAGCCCCCAATAATTATTTTTTTGTTCAATCGGGTCCCCAACTATTTTAATTTTGTCCTAATTAATCCTTCAATTAATAATCTAGTTTCTCTTATATCAAAATATGTATATGTAAAGGTTGGGGTAGCATGGACATGTTAATTATTATAATTAAAAGGTATTTTACATAAATGATAATTAAAATCATTAAAAACTTAAAATATTAAAAAGTAATAATAAAAACTTTAATGGTACGTTTGGTTCGTAGTATAAAACGTGAACATATAATAATGTGATAATCATTGTCCGACAAAAAATGTGTATATAATATGTATTATGTCATGTATTGCATATCGGTATTATATACAAAAGATTATATAAAATTTTATCAATTTATTATATAATAATATGCACATTTATATAATTTTAAAATAGATCCAATATACAAAGCAGTATAACGTAATTTAATTTCAATATTTAATATCAATCACGTAATAAGTTATTATCATTATAAATTATATTTCATTAAACGCACCGTTTGCCGCGAGTCAAATCCTTCCCAAATTCCAAAGTGATTGTGGATGGGCCTAAGTGGAAGGACAATGGGCCAAACATTTGGGCCTTCATGGGTTAATTATATTTCACATTATTGAGTATTTAATATATTGATGGTTGGTATTTCTTTTTTTATTTATATAATAATGTATGTTCGATATTAGGTTATGTATTCATATATAATTAATGTGTATATATTTTCTAATTAATCAACAATCAAATCTTTTATGTTCATGTATGAATCTTGGGATATTGATTCAATATTTGTATGATTATAAATGAGTACGAGATGCTAATTTCAATGAGATAATCGGTAAAAATTAATTTTGATTTGATTATATTAAAATATATATATATATATATATAGTGGGTACACTGTATATACATACATAGATACTCACACCTCGAATATTTTAAAATAATAATTAAACGGAACGTTTTGAGGATTTGATTAAACACGCAGATGATTAAATGATTTGGGAAAGGAAAGAGAACACGCGGGGTTTTGTTGGGTGTGATCGGAGTGGTGTGGGCCCCGCCGGATGCATGTCCATCACTCGGGAAACACATGCTCGGTTGGCGAGAAACATCTCCCAACTAATACAAACCAATTCTTACCAAAATAATACATATATATATATATATATATACATGTATACATTACTTTTAATTTCTTATTATACTATATGTAAATATAATAAGAAAATAATGATTTTAGGTACATTCTTTTTTTTAAGGCTTGAGCAAATTATACACACACTTGTAAGTCTACATGTTAAGAGTTGTTATTCACCCCCATATACATATAGATATATATATATTATGTGAGAGTTATTTTTATACAGAGCTAGCATTTGGCTCCCACC